TATTAAGTTCCACATGAATTCAGAAGAGTTCTTACTCACATCTTTTGTAATCTAATTCAGTTCACTGGCTCATAGTGAAAAGGATTGCACGTCCCACCTCCTTGCCTTTTAAAGGGAACAAAGGCCACGGGAAAAGATCTGTAAACTCGAATCCTTGCGCCTCTGTGTGCCGGATGCTGTGGGATGTCTAATTAAAGACTTCAATTCCCAGGAACCACTGCTCTTAAAGATATATGGCAGTTCTACTTAACTACAGTTTAAAACGCTGGCTGGGGCAGCACACTCCCCGCCTGGAATCCTATGGGTTCCACTACCCACATACATTGCTAACAAGCCTTACATCTATAACTATGCATAATTGGCATGCTACACATGCTATACATAATTGGTGCAGAGCAGGACCACCTCTGTGATTGGCCTGGTGAAAGTCTTGGTCGCCAAGGGGCGGTCCTGTGGGCCATCCCGTGCGACGACTCTGACATCAATCTTGCGGACCAGTCCATCTTTGCCAGGCAAGGCCCGATCTACAAGTCCTATGGGCCACGATCTACAAGTCCTATGGGTACATCTTTCTCCCTCAGCAACACGACATCTCCTTCCTGCAAGTTAGGCTTGTCCTCTTCCCATTTGCGTCGACTCTGTAAAGTTGGAAGATATTCTTGCTTCCAGCGCTTCCAGAAGGTGTTCGCTAGGAGTTGAACTTGCCTCCACTGTTGTTTGAACATGTCTTTGGCCGCGAAGGTCCCTTGAGGTGCTGGCCATTCGCTTGTCTTTATGACAAACAGCAAGCAATTTCAGGCTTTTAGGCAATGCTGCTGGAGAAAGGGTGAGGTTAGCTGAAAAATGATGAACAGCTCACGAAGCTCATTCTGATTGGGTGAAGGCAGCTTACCGAGGAACGGAACACTGAGCTGTTTAAAAAATTCAAGTGGGAAGGAGTTGGTTAGCCAGTTGGTGTGGAACAGTGAGGAGTTGGAGCAAGGGGGCAGAGCTGATGGAAAAGTGTCTGAGAAGCCCAATCTACAGCAGAGCGAGTGTGTTGTGGCCTCTGCACATAACAGCCTGGGGAAGGGGGAGGCAGGGGCGGAGTTAGTCTGGCAAAGAAGTGTCAGAACCTCCCCTATTCAAGGAGTGGAAGGAATCTCCTTGCATGAAAAAAAAAAAAAAAAACACTACTTGAGTGGAGAGTCACTCTCAGTATGGAAGTTTATTAACCAGTTTACAGAGACTGTTCTTTTGGCAGATAGGAGGTTGACAAAAGGTTTGAGGAGGCACGGAGGTCCTTCAAGCAAGTCAAAAGAGGTTATTGCTCTTAAGGAGAAGAGAATAACAATCTGGCTAGAGGAAGAGGGGGCAGATAGGAAGCCCCCTGGTCTATAAACATAGGGTTAAAGCATAATAAAGTCTCAAGTCTGTATGACGATCCAGTGACAAGTACAAAAGTAGGCACTCTAGTAATATTTGTAACCCTGTTAAAGCAATGAAATGTCTCTTAACAACATCAAAACAAAGAAAACCAGGGAAAATAACTATCTGAATATCTCTAGTCTTGTATAAAAGCAGTTTTGTATATATTTTTCAAATCTCTCTCTACCGATCCTAACCAAAACTTGCTTGTAAATATAATTTCCATCCCCTACCTGTTTGTTCAAATAAATTTGACTTCTGTTTCAACTTTAAGTATCCCTAGGTGCCCATTTCTGAAGGAAAATTCCTAGAAGAACAAACCTTCCTCAAGCACAGTTCCCATGGTTCCTTAGTTGGGGTAGGAGCCGACAAAGAATCCAACAGTAATAAGGTGGGAAATGGCATTATGATAAAATTTATTTACCACATAAGAAGAGTGACACGCTACCTAAAGGCTACCCAGTTAACATATGGGGAACTGAAATTCATAGGGGAAGTGGAGGGAAAATCTGAGGCAATACGAGGGCAATTGTTTGATGGGATTGCCCATTTGGTACAAGGACCTTATTTTTTTATGTATAGCCTACCGGTTTGGATGCTCAATACTGAAATATGTGCTGCTACTTATAAGTGCATCATTCTGGCTGTGCTCGTGTAAATGTACTCTTCGAAAATGTCCCATAATTTTGAGTGTTCCAAGGGTGCTTGGCTCATGTGTTTTTATGTTGCATTATTATGTACATCTGCAGGCAAGGATGCTTTTGTGTCAAAGATGAATTCATTGTCTGTGTGGATATGTGCACCTGCATAACTTAGCTATGTGTCCTGCCTTGGTAAAATTTGCACTCTTTTTCTCCACCAAGGTTTGGACATACTTTTGTACTTTGTCCTGTAGTTTCATGCATGTTATGGCTACTGCTGGCATGGCTTGTGAACTGATTACTGTAAAATGCCACTTCTGCTAATGCAGCCCTGAACAGTTGAGTCCAAAATTATTAAGCTTTTAGTTTTAAAAAAATAAATAGAATGCTTCAATAACCTGTTTTTTTTGTTTTTTTTACTGGATTTAAACTCAAAGTATTGAATGCTTTTGTAACAAAACTTTTAAAAGAACTATAAGTTGGATCCAGAACCCCATTTCCCACAAAGTGAGACTCTTCTTCAATCTCATTTAGCAGAAGGAAGTTTGAATCTAAACTATTAGAGTAGAAATGGAAAACACTTCTTCCAAAAATACTGCTTTTAAAATAAAATCGATTGCGTTGCAAGATTTCAACTTGTTTTTCTTCTCAGATTATCTCTCACAGTGATCCATGAAATATATTTGTGTATGAAAATTCCACAAAGGAATGAGCAAATAAAATATCTCAGTTCATAGTATTTGCAAAAACAACCCAGGTCAGAGGCATAAAATGAAAAGCTATAATTGCTAGTACAAAGTCCAAATAAATTTCTCCAATAGTATCACAATGGTACGAAAGAAAATACAAAAAAGATACTCTTATTACCAATATGCTTAGTTGGAAAACTATGGGACGCCAGCTTGCTGCAGTGCAATGATTTTGGTAGTGCAATTTATTACTTATTTATATTATAGTGTGCCCTTTTCACTAAGACTCAAGATGAATTACATAATGTATGTCAATACAATCAAATGGGGGAGACATCCAACAATGTAATAGGATTAGGAAAGCAGAAATCTGAAATAAGGCATAAATATGACACATTGAACGCTAAAAGAAATACTATTACAGAAATAGAAATATATTGCAGTGAGAACAAGGCAAGAACATAGAGCAACAGATGATACATAGTAATATAGTCCACAGTCTAATTCCCTCTGTTGAAACATCTTCCTGTTATAATTCTGCCTAATTCCTTCATTAAAATGCCCTTCTGAATGGTTCTGTTTTACATAGTTCGCAGAAGGCCAAAAGCGTGGGAACCTTCTTAACCTCTTCAAGCAGGCCATGCCATAGCGCAAGGGCCACTACAGAGAATGCACATGTACTGGCAGTTGCTGATGTTGCCCATTTGCAGGGTGACACCTGTAGAAGACCCTGTTCAGAATAGCAAAGTTGTTTTGGTGGCATGTAGGAAGGGAGACAGTCCTGCAGATTATAAGAGTCCCGGGCCATGAAAGAGTTTGTATGTGATGGCCAGTACCTTGAATTGAATCCAGTAACTAATGGGCAGCCAGTGGAGTGACTGCAGAATACATGGAGGAGGAGGAGAGATTGGATTTATACCCCGCCCTTCACTTGGAGTCTCAGAGCGGCTTACAAACTCCTTTCCCTTCCCCTCCCCACAACAGACACCCTGTGAGGTGGGCGGGGCTGAGAGAACTCTGACACAAACTGCTCTTTCAGGAACAGCTGTGCCAGAGCTTGTGACTGACCCAAGGTCACATCAGCAGGTGCAAGTGGAGGAGTGGGGAATCAAACCCGGTTCTCCCAGATTAGAGTCCGCGCACTTAACCACTACACCAAACTGCCTAGTTCCTGATAATATTCAAAATACAGCATTCTACACTAACTGGAGCTTGATTTTGAGGGGAAACATATACAGAGTGCAGTACAATAATCTAGTCTTAACGTTACTGTGGTGTGGATCCAGGTATCCAGATCAGTCAAGTCAGAGTCAGGGGGCATTTTCCAGGCTAAAGTAAGTTGGAAGAAAATGTTTTGGTGGCTGCATTAAGTTGCTTCCCTATCCGTAATGCTGGGTTCCGTAGAACCCCTAGTCTCTTGGCCCAGTCACTAAGTGTCTACTGAACCCCATCAAAAGTGGGAAGCATGATATCCTTCAAGACCTTGAGCTTCCCAGCCAGCATTACCTCTGTCTTGTCGGTGTTCCATTCAATTTGTTCGTTCTCAGCCATTTGACCACTGTAGTCACGCAGTGGCTCAATACCGTACGCTCAGGAATTTTGGATAGAGAATACAGAGCTGGTTGTCATCAGCATACTGATGGCATCTAATCCCAGAACTACAAATGATTTGTTCTAACTGCTTTACATAGAGATTGAATATCTCGGGAGATAAAACGGCACTCTGTGAAACCCCACAGGAAAACTCCCAATGGCAACCTGTATCAAAAGCAACCTTATTTCCTGTTTAGCTTCACTTCCGGTGACATGCTGGCAGCGTGCGCGTGCTTCACGTGCGCACGCACATCGACGGACGGCTCTCGGAGCCCAGCCAGGCTCCCCTGCCAGTAAGAAAAATTGATTTGGCAACCCTAGTTCTCAGCCATTTGACCACTGTAGTCAGGCAGTGGCTCAAGACCTCTATCGTACGCTCAGGAATTTTGGATAGCAAATACAGAGCTGGTTGTCATCAACATACTGATGGCATCTAATCCCAGAACTACACATGATTTGTTCTAACTGCTTTACATAGAGATTAAATAGCTCGGGAGATAAAACGGCACTCTGTGAAACCCCACAGGAAAACTCCCAATGACAACCTGTATCAAAAGCAACCTTATTTCCTGTTTAGCTTCAAAGGCCACTCTAATTATTTAAAATTATGGTGATGTTTGTTTTTTATATCTACTGTCATTAAGAATTATCTGTTTCTCTGTTCTTACAGGCTGTCCATACAGGCATGAGGGCATATATCTATAATAAAAGTTCTGTTATTGGCTCTCAGGCAGAACATTCAGGGATGCGCACATACTACTTTAGTGCAGATACTCAAGAAGATATGAATAGCTGGATCCGGGCTATGAATCAAGCTGCCCTTATGCAAACCTGTTCATCGCCAAAGAGGCAAGTTCAGAGATTTCTTTCAAATATGAACATGACATGTAAAATAATGTACTGTAATTATATAAAAGTCATCTTAAATGGTTTTAAGTAGTCATAAGAATGCCGTGTATCAGAACCACATGTCTGAGCATGTATAACAACCTAAGCTGAAGTCTAAGTGACGGAGAAGAAACAAAAAACTCTGATGTACCACACAGGAAAACTGTTCTAAGCACTGATTTACTGTCATGACAAAGAGGACATCGAGATAATAGTTGCCCTTGCATATTTTATTTAAAAGCAAAGTGGAGGCAAACAGTGAACTGAAGCAATTCCAATTGTTGATAAAAATGCATCACATAAGAGGAACTATATGAAAAGCTAAGATTACTAATTTACTTCTTGTGAACTCACATTAAAACCAAAAGAAAAAAGAAAAAAATGGCTAGAGTTGTGAGATAAGGATTCAATTCTTGGATGGTTTTGGTAATCAAGACAATTTATCACTTTAAAATATTTGCATGCCAATTTTTCACTCTGGCAAATGTCTGTATCATATTTTCATATTGTTCTTTAGGAATAACGTTTAGTGCCTTCATGAGTGCCAGAACAAATAGTACTTGATTGTTCCAGGGCTCAGATAGAAATGTAATGGATTCATAAGTAGACAAAATCCTGTGTCATACTTGAAGTTTTGGAGAGGAGAAAACTGAGGAAGGAAAGAACATTATTCAGTTATATTACTTGACTAAAACATGTACCAAAATAAATAAAGACGTTGCTCTGCCACGACCTTCCTGCCACAGTTGAGACAGTAAAGGAACTCGAGGCTCCATGCGTGTCTTCTTGTCAAGTTCTGGATTATTTCAGTCCACTCAGCCTAGAGGAGGTCAACAAATTACTCTCCTCTGGTCGCCCAACCACTTGTAGCCTTGATCCATGCCTGTCGTGGCTAATTAAAGCTGGTCGCGACAGGCTACAAGGGGCACTAAGGGAGATCATCAACAAGTCCCTCTCTGAGGGCCTGTTCACTAGTGCACTAAAGGAGGCAGTGGTCTGCCCTCTCCTAAAAAAGTCATCTCTGGATCTGGCCGAATTGGCTACTTACCGGCTGGTATCCAATTTGCCTTATTTTGGCAAATTAACTGAGAGGGCTGTGGTGATTCAGCTGCAGGGTTTTTTGGATGACACCTCCACATTAGACCGCTTCCAGTTCGGTTTCCGACCAGGCCATGGAACAGATACGGTCCTGGTAGCCCTCAAAGATGATCTCCAGAGGTCAGTGGATCGGGGCGGTTCGGCAGTGTTGTTGTTGTTAGAACTGTTGGCGGTGTTCAACACGGTTGACCATCAACTACTGATCCACCGCCTCGCTGACACTGGGATTCAGGGGTTTGCCTTGCAGTGGCTCTCCTTGTTCCTCCAGGGCCAGGGAGAAAGGGTGGCCATTGGGGAACAGCTATCCAGAAGGCGCCCGCTGGTTTGCGGAGTGCCCCAAGGAGCGGTGCTTTCCCCAATGTTATTTAACATCTACAGATTGCTCGGAGGCATGGACTGGGTTGTCACCGATATGCAGATGACACCCAGCTCTATCTGTTGTTGGACAGCCAGTCAGACTCTAGTCCAGAAGATATGGACCTGCCGTTGAAAGCTGTGGCTGGTTGGCTTAGACTGAGTCGACTGAAATTGAATCCGACAAAGACGGAGGTCCTGTGCCTGAGTTGGAGCAGTCCAAGGTTAGGAATTCTACTCCCGACCTTTGATGGGGCACCGTTGGTGCCAGCGATAGAGGTTAGGAGCTTGGGAGTGCTCCTGGATGCCTTCTTAATGATGGAAGCCCAGGTAGTGGCCACTGCGAAGTCAGCCTTCTACCACCTGCTGCTGGTTAGGCAGTTGGTTCCCTTCCTTGAACGCAATGATCTAGCAACAGTGATCCATGCAATGGTCACCTCGAGATTGTACTAGTGTAATTCTCTCTCTTGTCCCAAATCCGAAAGCTGCAGCTGGTGCAGAATGCGGCGGTCAGGCTATTGTTGCGTCTCCCTATGCGGGAGCACACCCAGCCTGTGCTAAAAGCACTGCATTGGCTGCCTATAGCATACCAAATTCAGTTCAAGGTGCTGGTTCTTACCTTTAAAGCCCTATATGGTCAGGGACCTATCTACCTAAGGGACCGCCTTTCCCCACGTGTTCCCCAGAGGGCACTAAGATTGGGGTCCCAAAATCATCTGGTCCTTTCAGGCCTAAAAGAAGTCAGGCTAGCTGTGACGAGGGCCAGGGCCTTCTCAGTGGTGACCCCTTACTGGTGGAATGTGCTCCCAGTTGACATCAGGGCCCTGTGGGACCTTTTATAGTTCCGCAGGGCCTGTAAAACGGAGCTCTTCCACCAGGCTTTCAATTAGGGTGCCGCCCTTCCAACAACCAGGCCCTGGCCCCGATACCAACACCAACTCAAAAATATGATATGATCAATAGCCTGACAAAACCCAGACTACAGTGGCAGCTGATCATATGGATGCTGCAAAGGCCGCCATCGGCTATGAATTATACTAGTACTTTATGATATGTTTTATTCTGTATTGTTGTGATTTTATTTAAATATTGTCTGTAAGCCGCCCTGATCCTGCCTTGGTGGGGAGGGTGGGGTACAAATTAGACGAATACATAAATAAATAAATAAAATTACAAGCCCATAATCTGAATTCTTAACAGGTTCTGCAGCACAAAGAAGACACCAGCTTGTAAAAGTTCTGCTTTTCTTTGCAGCTACTTGGACAAATCAGTGGTTTATATATTGTGATGTGTAGTTTACAAATGCTTACGGGCTATCATCTTTTACTAGAATTTAAAGACATACGAGCTTTCCCTAGCCTTTTAGACCTTGAGATTGCTCTTTTGGGGATGAAGGTATCTTTAAAAAAAAAATCATTTCTATAACGGACAATAACAAACATGCATACACACACATAAAAGGGAGGTTGTATCAATTTAGCCAGTATCTTGGCTCCTTATCTTACTCTAAAATATCCTTATTATCCACCTTACTTTTATAGTATACACTTTTATTAATATTTTAATCTATAATTCTCAGTTCCTTTTATTCGGTTAGAGGTCCAGGAATTTTAGTTATTATTTCCTTCTAGCCAGTCATAAAATGTTGACCATGAGTTTTCAAAGTCTTCTTTGCTATTTCCTCTTAAGATCTTAGTAAACTCATCCATCTCAGCCGTTACCAATATTTTGGCTATGACTTCTTCTTTTGTAGGAACTTCAGTTCCTCTCCAGTATTTTGCGTATAGGATCCTTGCTGCTGTTAGAATATGTAAGATAAAAGTCTTGTCTCTTATAATTTTCTGGGATTATATGCAGCAAAAACAATTCTGGTGTATAAGGCACAATAATTTTCAACATTTTATGTAACAGTTCTTGTATCCAAGACCAATATTTTTTAACTTTCTCTCAAGCCCACCACATATGAAAGAATAAGCAAACATTATTGTGACATTTCGAACAATAATTTGACAATTCAGGATGAATCTTAGCTAGATTGTCTGGAGTCATATACCATCTATATTGGTATTGTTTGGAATAAGAAGATCAGCCTAGGAAGAATATTCATCCTTATTGTGGCTATTCTACCCATAAAAGATATTTGCAAGTTTTTCCACTTTTCTAAGTCTTTTTAAATTTCTGTCATAAGTTCCATATAATTGTCTTTCATCAAAGAGCTGCATCTATTTGTTATTTTTACTCCCAAATATTTCACTTTTTTTTAACTTCAAATCCTGATTCCACTTGGAGTTGTTTTGCTTGGTCTATTGTCATATTTTTATTAACATTTTTTGTCTTAGATTATTTTTCAATCCAGCCACTCGGCCATACTCTAACGGCATGGTTAATAGTTTTGTAATTGAACCCAGTGGGTTTTCTAAAATAAATACCAAAATATCTGCAAATGCTTGTAATTTAAATTCTTCTCTTATTTTGACTCCTCTAATATTCCTGTCCTCTCTAATCATATTGCTCAATGTTTCAAGTACAAAAATAAATAACAGAGGCGAGAGTCTAGTTGTCTAGTTCCTTTTTGTATCTCAATATATTGTGATAAATCTCCATTAATAAGAATCTTTGCTCGTTGTTTGGTATAAATTGCTTGTACCATTGTAAAAAATTCTTTACCACACTGTGAGACTAATAGCTGTTCCAACATAAAACTCCAGCTGACATTATCAAACGCTTTTTCAGCATCTAAAAAAATTAGGGCCATTTGTTGCTCTGGATGTGCTTCAAAATATTCAGTTACATTATTCTTACATTACACAAGTTCTTACATTATTGCTAAGTTGTCTTTTTGGTAGAAAACCTGCTTGTTCCTGATGGATTATCTTCAACAATATTTTTTTCAATCTAGTTGGGCAAAATAGAAGCATAAATTTTATAGTCCACATTTAGTAATGAAATCAGTCTATCTGAATTTTGTTTGCGTACCAAAGTTATCAGTGCCTCATTCCATGTTTTTGGTATTTTACCATCTGTTCTTATACTCTGTATGGATGAAAGTATCAACAGATGACCGTAGATAGCCCCTGTCTCCTTAGCTGTCCATTGTACAAAGTGTTTGACTCTTCAAATGACCACTTTGAAAGCAAAATATTCCTGTTGTGCACTAGTAGCAGCAGTTTTTGACTTCTCTACTTGGTTTTCTAATATGTTGTCAAAAGGGAGTTCCAGAGAAAATGAAATTGCTACTCAGATGTCAGTGATATATAATAACTTCTTTGGTGTGTTAAAAATTAGCTTAGTCAATATCATTAAAAGCACATAAGCAAATAATTCTGCTCTTATGATGCAAAGTCATAAACAATAGAAAAAAATCAGTACTACAGATCTTAATAGGTACTTTAATTATGTACTTTAAGATGCATATTTAACAGTGGTCTCAGGTTAAAGCCCACTGAAGTAACTGCATAGGATTACATCATAAGTAATATATGTTCCTTTCTTTTTTAAAAGAGACGATAATAGGAATGGTATTTATTAATTTATTTATTTTATCATTTTTAAACATTTCTATCCCACTTTATCTCCTTGAATTCAAGGTCACTATTAATTGAGTAATCAGGTTGCAAGGACATATATTAAACAGCCCAATCAAATAAACTGCAGGTAAATTTCTTTACATATTGCTTCCTCCCCAAGCATATTTGAAGGGATGCCAATACTCTGACATGTACTAACAGAGCCAGGGCCTCTCTCACTTTATGTTGTGCAACACCTGGAAGCGGTATGAGTATTTTAGAATATCTCACCAAATTAGCTAGTCAAATAAACTGCTGGTTTTTAACTGCATGTGGTTTTTTTCTTCTTAGAGAAACAGAAAAAATAGATCAGCAAGCTGTTCCTCAAGCAAATCATGTGGATGTCTGCAAAGAATGTGCAAAGTTAAGCCCCAATGATGTACAAAGAAGTTATAGAAAATCACTAGAAAGCTCTCAATATGGAAAGCATGAAGAGATGAGGAGAGCAAGAGAAGATGGCTGTTACACTGTCAGAAAGGACACCATAGAATCCAAGAGGAAGAAATCTAAACATCCATTGATGTCAGAGGGTGGCACTCTGAATCCAGAGGTAACAGTGTCTCGGTCCCAAGTTGCTCCACTCGTTGAGAAGAATGGATTGCTCTCCAGTTCATTAAATACAACTACTGGCCCATTGGAGCAGAATGGTACTGGGTTGTATAAACGAGGATTTGTTCCCAGACCAACTCAAGACAAACAGAAACAAAGGAAGCACAACATGGCTCATATAGAACACTGGGTAAAAGTCCAAAAAGGAGACACAAAAAGGTGGGTAATGAGTTTGAATGAGCTGTTTTATTACTGTAAGATATTGGATCACTCTATTTTCCTCCCAGGTCATTCATAATACCTGTAATTTAAGGTTCCCTGTCTGTGGTCTCATGCAGCAGAGTAAAGACATTCAGTGGCAGGACAATGGCTGTGCCATTCATCACTTAGGGGTTTCTTTGCTTTAGGTTCAGATAACTAGGCTTGTCAGTATCTCCCTAACAAAGAGTTTAATTGCTGAGTTTCTTTAATCTTTTGGAAAAGAATTATGTTTCTCATATGAACATAAGAAGAGCCCCGCTGGATCAGACCAGTGGTCCATCTAGTCCAGCATCCTGTTGCACACAGTGGCCAACCAGTTCCTCTGGAGGCCCAACAAACAGGGCATAGAGGCCAAGGCCTTCTCCTGACGTTGCCACCTGGCACTAATATTCAGATTTTTACTGCCTCTGAATGTGAAGGTTCCCTTCAGTCACCATGGCTAGTAGCCACTGATAAACCATGGATCTGTCTAATCCCCTTTTAAAGCTGTCTGTGCCTGTGGCCATCGCTACATCCTATGGCAGCAAATTCCACATTTGAATCACTCAGTGTGTAAAGAAGTTTGTCCAGCCTGAATCTATTACAACAGCTTCAATGGATTCCATTGAGTTCAAGGATTCTGGGAGAGGGAGAAAAAGTTCTCTTTGTCAGCTCTCTCTGTTCATAATTTTATAAATCTGTATCATGTCCTCCCTTCAGTCATCTCTTTTCTAAACTGAAAAGTCCCAGGCTCTTCTGCTTTCTTCATAAGAAAGGGGCTCCAACCCCCTAATCATCTTGGTTGTACCTTTTTCAGCTCTGCGATGTTCTTTTTGGGATACATGACCAGAACTGTACGCAGTATTCCAAATGAGGCCACGCCATAGGGGCATTATAATATTGGCTGTTTTTAATTTCAATCCCTTTCCTAATAATCCCCAACCCAGAGTTTGTCTTTTTCACTGCTATGACACACTAGGCTGACACTTTCATTGAGCTATCTACTATAATCCTAAAATCTCTTTCTCTCTCGTTGGTCGAATCTGCATTTGCCTTTCCCACCGGTGTCCCAGCCTTCTGACACCGTCTTTAAAAAAGCTGTCTACATTTGTTGCTGTAGATTTTCCGGGATGTGTGGCCGTCATCTTGGCATTGTAGAACCTGACGTTTTGCCTGGCTGAACATAGCCTACCCCAAACAGGACACAGTATTTTGTTCCAAGACACTGAAAGGTTGGACAACACTTTCAATTACCATGTCAGATTACACAGGGAAGCCATTGAAATTCACAAACATAAACATAATTTCAACAGGAAAGAAGAGAGTTTAAAAATAAATAGGACATGGCTTCCTGTCCTGAAAAACACAAAAGGCTTTACATCAGACAATAGCACTGCAGATAAGATTAGAATTTCAACAACCTCCTCAGGAATCAGGAAACCTCCTCAGGAAACAAAAGAACTTCCTTAGGAAAGCTCCTCTATTAGCATGTCCATAGCCTGGGGAACTCCTACAAGACAATGACTCAGCCCTACCCACCTTCTGGCCCCGCGCAACGGACGCGTTGGGGGCGGATTAAACCGGCACGATCAGATGCCAACATCTGGCAAGCGTCATGCACCCGCCCCCAACCCGTCCCTTCCGGCCAAAAACGCGGATTTAAAAGATACCAGCAAAACACTGATCATGGCGGGGGGCAAATGCGGCTCAGTTCGGGGGGACTGTCTGATCCCAATGCCGCGCTTCAATTTGCTGCACCTCTAAAAAGCCGCACTTCTGCTGCGGCTTTTCCCACTAGTGTGACTGGGGCCATGGTGAAGTATAGGGAGAAAGGCAATCTGGCAGACATACAGATTTTTAAAGGATATTATAATAGCAGACATGCAAACTGAAATTATATTTGCATGATTATTCACAATTAAACATCTCCACTGTGAGATCGTGTCCTTTCTTAATAGGATGCAAGTGAGTCCCCATGGAAAGTAATGCAGTGAAGAAAAAAAGCCTTACAAAACTACAGCTGCTGTATTGGCCATCAGGCATTTTATTTAGTTATTTATGGCTGTGGTCACACACACTAAATAATCCACTTTCAAACTGGATTTTTACTGTGTGAACTGGCATCTTGTGGATTATTTAGTGTGTGTGACCGCAGCCTGTGATTTACCTTATGTGTAGTCTGCTTTTCAGACTTCGACTTACAAAGAGTGAGTCAATGCAACTGAAAGGATAGGACATTCAATACACAATGCAATGGGATTAGGGTTGCAGAAATCAACCAGAACTGAAGCAAAGCAATAAGACACATTAAATGATGCAAAGATTACACAGTAGGATCCTTGTTGCAGTGAGTTATACACGATAATAGAGACCAAAGTCCCATATCATTTATCCAGGTAACTTTGTGAATCATTTAGTATAGTGAAACTCTATTGCCTGTGTAGAAAGGTCCTCTTGAATAACTCAGTTTTGCATAGTTTGCAGAAAGCCAGGAGTGTGGGAACCATACCATAACAGAGAATGCACGTGTATGGGCCACAACAGAAAATGCACATGTATGGGCAGCTGTTGATTTTGCCCATTTGCAGGTTGGCACCTGCGGAAGACCTTGCTCCAATAAATGAAGCTGCCATGGTGGAGCATAGGTAGTCTCACATATATGAGGATTCACGGCCATGAAGGGCTTTGTGATAGCTAATACCTTAAATTGAGCCTGGTAACTGATGAGCAGTCTTCAGGAAGTATGTGCAGGATGGAAGTAATATGTGTGCTCCATCTCGCTCCTGATAATAGCCAAGCCATGGCATTCTGTACCAACTGGCTTCCCCAATTGATTTTGAGGGGAGATGAATGTACAGTGCTATGGTGTGGATCTAGGTGGCCAGGTCAGCTGTATCAAAGTAAAGGGTCATCTTTCAGGCTAGACTGAGTTGGAAGAAAGCCTTTTTTGCAGGTGTGTTAACTTGCTTCTCCAGCAATAACGTTGGGTCCAGTATAACCCCAAAGTGAGTTAGCAAGGGTCAGCTGAACACCCTCCGAAGTGGGAAGCACAGTGTCCTTCAAGGTCTCCACCCAGCCAGCATTACCTATGTCTTGTTAGGGTTTAGTTTCAATCTGTTCACTCTTATCCAATTTACCACAGCAGCCAGGGAGTTATTCACGATGAGTTGGGACTAATTGCTATACTGACTGGGAAACTGGAAAGTGGGGATCGCCTTAGGCTCCAGTCTAAATGTTTCCAAAATTTTATGCAGCAGTCAGGGAGAAGGTGGTCTTTTACCAGCTCCTTGCCCTTCCATGGAGAGTTTGTTTTCTCAGACTCCTCATGATAGAGGTCAGGAGAAGGCAGCCAGTTTTCTTTTCTCTCCTCTATCAACTTGACTCGGACCCATTAAAAGTGATTGTACTCCCAGTGCAGAACCCAAGCACTATGACTTCATGCTTGTTTCCTTTGACACAAAGAGTGAGAATACTTCTTTGGGAGTTAACTTGGCAGAAAGCCCGAAGAGTCACTAGGGGCATTGAATCAGTACCTTCGTGATTGTGCAAAAAGATGAGATTGCTGAAGTGACGATATTTCCTGTTAAATTGGCTGGTCAGGCCTGAGCTGGTCAGGCCTCCAGCCAGGATTCATCATCTTGTCATAAAGCCAGGTGGTAAAAATGACATGCTTTCACTAGGGATATAATCTTAAGTGAATCATTTTGGTTTTGTTTGATACATTCTTATTATGTGCTCCCTAAGGACAAGGACATTCA